AAGCCAACCATCCCCTGTGGCAACAGTGACTACCAGAGCCATAATCCCAGACTGGACCAATTGGGAATAGCTGCTCCCTGAGACACAGAGTTCATCAGCATCAAGTGGACCAAGAGCCCCGATTACACTCAGAACTCTCATGGGACCAAGAGAGGCACTCTCGCCGGGCAGTGGTGGCGCACGCCTTTAATCCCAGCACTCGGGAGGCAGAGCCAGGCAGATCTCTGTGAGTTTGAGGCCAGCCTGGGCTACAGAGTGAGTTCCAGGAAAGGCGCAAAGCTACACAGAGAAACCCTGTCTCGAAAAACCAAAAAAAAAAAAAAAAAAAAAAGAGAGGCACTCTCAGACACAAACACCACTTGCACCAAGTGGAGGAAGAGATGGGTAGATGCCAGTGAAAAATACAGTTAACAACATAAATATGAATATGGCACAATCATAACCTAATGGTTCTATATCAGGAAGACCTGAACATCTCAAAGCAGAAGAAATCGACCTTAAAAATGACTTCAAGAAGGTGATAGAGGCCTTTAAAGAGGAAATGAAAACTTCCCTTAAAGAAATTGAGGAAAAGACAAACAAAAAAATTGGAAGAAATCAATAAATCCCTTAAAGAAAACCAGGAAAAGCAATCAAACAGGTGAAGGAAACAGTTTAAAACTTGAAAACTGAGAGTCAATAAAGAAGACACAAACAGAGGGAATGCTGGAAATGGAAAATCTGAGTAAATGAATAGAAACTACAGATTCAAGCATAATCAAAAGATACAAGAGATGGAAGATACAATAGAGAAAATAGATTCTTCAGTCAAAGAAAACACTAAAGCCAACAAACTCATAACACAAAATGTCCAGGAAACTTGGGATATCATGAAAAGACCAAACTAAAGAATAATAGGGATAGAAGAAGGAAAAGAATACCAACTCAAGGGCACAGAAAATATATTCAACAAAATCATGGAAGAAAACTTTCCCAACATAAAGAATGAAATGCCTATGAAGACACAAGGAGCTTTCAGAACACCAAATAGACTGGATCCAAAGAAAAAGACCCCTTGTCACATAAAAATCAAACCACTAAAGATACAGAATAAAGAAAAACTACTAAGAGCTACAAAGGAAAAAGGCCAAATAACTTATATAGGCAGACCCACCAGAAAAACACCTGACTTCTCAATGGATACTCTGAAAGACAGAAGGTCCTGGAGAGACATTGTATAGACAGTAAGAGACCATGGAGGCCAACCCAGACTGTTATACCCAGCAAAATTCTCAATCACCATAGACAGAGTAAACCAAATATTCCATGGTAAAACCAAATTTAAACAATACCTATCCACAAATCCAGTCCTACAGAAAGGACTAGAAGGAAAAATCCAACCTAAGGAAGTTAGATATACCCAAGAAAACACAGGAAATAGATAATTCCACACCAAGAAATACCAAAGAAGGGAAACATACAACACTACCAACAAAAAATAACAGAAATTAACAATCACTGGTTATTAATATCCATTAATATCAATGGTCTCAATTTGACTATAAAAAGACAAAGGCTAATAGAATGGATACAAAAACAGGATCCATCCTTTTGCTGCATACAAGAAACATACCTCAACTTCAAAGACAGACACTACCTCAGAATAAAAGGCTGGGAAACGACTTTCCAATCAAATAGACTTAAGAAGTAAGCTGGTGTAGCTATCCTAATATCTAATAAAATAGACTTCAAACTAAAACCAAAACATCAGAAAGGACATTACATATTTATCACAGGGAAAATCAACCAAGATGAAGTCTCAATTCTGAACATTTATGACCCAAATACAAGGATACCCACATATGTAAAAGAAATATTACTAAAGTTTAAATTGCACATCAAACCACACACACTAGTAGTGGGAGGTTTCAATACCCCACACTCACAAATGGACAGGTCTGCCAGACAGAAACTTAACAGAGAAATAAGGGAACTAACAGACATTATGACTCAAATGGACTTAATAGATATCTACAGACCATTCCTCTCTAACACAAATTATATACCTTCTTCTGAGCACCCCATGGAACCTTCTCTAAAACTGACCACATGCTCAGTCACAAAGCAAATCTCAACAGATACACAAAAATGGGAACAACTTCTTGCGTTTTGGAGAACCACCATGGCAAAAAGTCAGATTTCAACAACAACAAAAATTACAGAAAGCCTACAATCTCATGGAAACTGAATAATGTCCAACTGAATCACCAATGGGTCAAGGAATGAAGAAAGAAAGAAATTACAGATTTCCTAAAATTGAATGAACATGAAAGTACAACATACACAAACTTATGGGACACTATGAAAGCAGTGCTAAGAGGAAAATTCATAGTACTAAATGCCCACATAAAGAAGATGGAGAAATCTCACACAAGCAACCTAACAGCACACCTGAAAAGTTTAGAACAAAAAGAAGCAAAGTCACCCATAAGGAATAGACGACAAGAAATAATCAAATTGAGGGTTGAAATCAATAAAATAGAAACAAAGAGAATACAAAGAATCAATGAAACAAAGAGCTGGTTCTTTGAGAAAATAAACAAGATAGACAAGCCTTTATCCATATTAACCAAAAGGCAAAGAGAGAGAGCCTCCAAATTAACAAAATAAGAAATGAAATGAAAAACATATCAACAGACAATGAGGAAGTCCAGAGAATCATCAGGTCATACTTCAAAAACCTCTACTCCACAAAATTGGAAAACCTGAAAGAAACTGACAATTTTCTGGATAGATACCACATACCAAACTTAAATCAAGACCAGATAAACTAGTTAAATAGACCAATAACCCCTTAAAAAATAGGAATAGTAGCCGGGCGGTGGTGGCGCACGCCTTTAATCCCAGCACTCGGGAGGCAGAGCCAGGCGGATCTCTGTGAGTTCGAGGCCAGCCTGGACTACCAAGTGAGTTCCAGGAAAGGCGCAAAGCTACACAGAGAAACCCTGTCTCGAAAAACCAAAAAAAAAAAAAAAAAAAAAAAATAGGAATAGCAATTAAAATCCCTCAACCAAAAAAAAAAAAAGCCCAGGACCAGATGGTTTTAGTGCAGAATTCCATCAGATTTTCAAAGAAGAGCTAATACCAACACTCCTCAAATTGTTTCACACAATAGAAACAAAAGGAACATTACCAAACTCTTTTTATGAGGCTACTGTTGCCCTGATAACAAAACCACACAAAGACACAACAAAGAAAGAAAATTACAGACCAATCTCCCTCATGAATATTGATGCAAAAATACTCAATAAAATATTGGCAAACTGATTCCAAGAAGTCATCAAAAAAATTATCCACCATGACCAAGTAGGCTTCATCCTAGGGATGTAAGGATGGTTTAATATCTGTCAATGTAATACACCATATAAACAAACTGAAAGAAAAAAAAAACACATGATCATCTCATTAGATGCTGAAAAAGCCTTTGACAAAATCCAACACCCCTTCATGATAAAGGTACCAGAGAGGTCAGGAATACAAGGAACATACCTAAACATAATAAAGGCAATTTACAACAAAATGACAGCTAACATCAAACTAAATGAAGAGAAACTCAAAGTGATTCCACTAAAATCAGGAATAAGACAAGAATGTTCACTCTCCCCATATTTATTCAATATAGTACTTACAGTTCTAGCTACAGCAATAAGACAGCAAAAGGAGATCAAGGGGATACAAATTGGAAAAAAAGAAGTCCAACTTTCACTATTTGCAGATAATATGTTAGTATAAGTAAGTTACTCCCATAATTCTACCAGGGAACTCCTACAGCTGATAAAAATCCTTGAGTAATGTGACAGGATACAAGATTAACTAAAAAAAAATCAGTAGCCCTCCTATATACAAATGATAAATGGGCTGAGAAAGATATCAGAAAAACATCACCCTTTACAATAGCTACAAATAATATAAAATACCTTGGGATAATTTTAACTAAGCAAGTGGAAGACCAGTAAGATAAGAACTTTAAGTCTCTGAAAAAAGAAATTGAAGAAGATATCAAAAAATGGAAAGATCTGCAATGCTAATGGATAGGTAGGTTTAACATAGTAAAAATGGCAATCTTTCCAAAAGCAATATACAGATTCAATGCAATCCCCATCAAAATACCAACACAGACCTGGTAAGAACAATACTAAACTTCTTATGGAAAAACAAAAAACCCAGAATAGCTAAAATAATCCTGTAGAGTAAAGCAACCTCTAGAGGCATCATAATGCCTGACCTCAAGCTCTACTATAGAGCTATAGCAATAAAAACAGCTTGGTACTGGCACAAAAACAGACATGTGGACCAATGGAATTGAATTGAAGACCCTGACATTAATCTGCATACCTGTGAACACCTGATTTTTGACAAAGAAGCCAAAACTGTACCATGGAAAAAAGAAAGCATCTTCAACAAATGGTGCTGGCATAACTGGATGTCAACATGCAGAAGATTACAAAAAGATCCATGTCTATCACCATGCACAAAACTCAATTCCAATTAGATCAAAGACCTCAACACTGAAGTTGATAGAAGAGAAAGTAGAAAATAGTAGTGAATGCACTGGCACAGGAGACAACTTCCTAAATATAACACCAGTAGTAACACAGAAACTGAGAGCAAAAGTTAATAAAAATTAATAAATAGGACCTCCTGAAACTGAGAAGCTTCTGTAAGGCAAAGGACATGGTAAAGAAGACAAAACAACAGCCTACAGAATGGGAAAATATCTTCACCAACCTCACAACTGACAGAGGGCTGATCTCTAAAATATATAAAGAATCAAGAACTAGACAACAAAACACCGAACAATCCAATTTTAAAAATGACCTACAGAGCTAAACAGAGAATTCTCAACAGAAGAATCTCAAATGGCTGAAAGACATTTAAGGAATTGCTCAACATCCTTAGTCATCAGGGAAATGCAAAACAAATCTGAGATACCATCTTACACCTGTCAGAATGGCTAAGACCAAAACATTGATAACAGCTTATGTTGGAGAGGATGCAGAGCAAGGGGAACACTCCTCCACTGTTTGTGGAAAATGCAAACTTGTATAGTCACTCTGGAAATCAGTAAGGCGGTTTCTCAGAAAATTGGGAATCAATCTTCCTCAAGACTCAGCAATACCACTCTTTGGCATATACCCAAGGAATGTTCAATTATACCACAAAGACGTGCTCAACTATGTTCATAGCAGCATTATTTGTAATAGCCAAAACCTGGAAACAACCTAGATGGCCCTCACCGAAGAAAAAAATGTGGCACATATACTCAGTAGAGTACTACTCAGCAGTAAAACAATGATATCATGAAATTTGCAGGCAAATGGATGGAACTAGAAAATATCATCCTGAGTGAGGTAACCCAGACTCAGAAGGACAAACATGATATGTACCTATTCATAAGTTGATACTAGATGTAAAGCAAAGGATATCTAGTCTACAACCCACAGCTCCAGAGAAGCTAGCTAACAAGGAGGACCCTAAGAAGGATGCATAGATTGCCCAGTGAAGGAGAAAGAGATGAGCTCCACATGAGCAAACTGGGAGTGAAGGTAGGTAATGGAGGACAAGGGATAGGGAATGAGCACATAAGGGAATAGGAGGTTCGAGGTGGAACAGGGACAGTGTGGGAGAACAAGGAAAGAGACATCATGATAAATGAAAACATCATGGGGATAGGGAGAAACCTGGTGCTAGGAAAGTTCCCAGGAATCCACAAAGATGATCCCACCTTAGACTACTAGCAATAGTCAAGAGGGTGCCTGAACTGGCATACTCCAGTCATCAGATTAGTGAATAACCTAACTATCATCATAGAGCCATCATCCAGTAACTGATGGAAGCAGATGCAGAGATCCACACTCATGGGCCAGGCTGAGCTCCAGGAATCCAATCGATGAGAAAGTGGAGGAATTCTTTGTGCAAGGGACATCAAGATCATGATGGGAAAATGTACAGAGACAGCCAGACAAACTAGTTGAAACACATGAACTGTGGACCAATAGCCCATGGTTCTGGACTAGGCCTTCTGGATAAGCAAGACAGTTGTTTAACTTGTACTGTTTAGGGAGCTACACTGCTAGTCCGTCCCTGGTACATGAGTGGGCTTTTTCGAGCCCTGTGCCTATGGTGAGACACCTTATACAGCAACCTTGATGCAGGGAGGAGGAGCTTGGACCTGCCTCAATTGAATATACCAGGCTCTGCTGACTTCCCTTGGGAGACCCTGTCTTGGAGGAGGAGGGAATGAGAGGTGGATTGGGGTGAAAGCTGGGGCCTGGGAGGGGAGAGGTGTACCTGGAGTTATCTCCAGTCCCATCCAGGTCCACAGCCACTCTATAAGTTGCTACATGTTTTGTGGTTTACCAGTATTTCACATCTTACTTCTCATGGCAGCAGCAACTGGCAGCATCTCCTGACTCAACTTTCCACTTTCCAGAATTCTCTTCTCTCTTTTTCCTGCCTATACTTCCTGCCTGGCTACTGGCCAATCAGCATTTTATTTATCAATCAATCATAGAACACATTCACAGCATACAGTTATCCACAGCACTTCCCCTTTTCTTTTTTTTCAAAAAGGAAGGTTTTAACTTTAACATAGTAAAATTACATATAACAAAACAATTATCAAGCAATAATTACAGTTACAATATCTACTCTATTTATAATATCTAGTCTATTTGTATTTGGCAAAATTAAAGAAGATATCCTATCTATACTATATTTGTGAGTCTAAGGTTTCATATCTAACTTATCTTTTATCATAACTAAGGAAATCATAACTATCTAGTCTTCAACTACATCAAATACCTCACAAGGATATAATATTACCTGAGAAACAGGATAAGGATGCAAGCAACTTTCAGGAGTCTTGCGAGAGTAGACAGCTGGCAGCCTGGACAGTCATTCAAAGTTCTTCTGTAAAGGTGGGGCATCTGTCTTCAGGCCACAGGCCTAGAATCTCTCAGTCACTTCTCTCTGTGTCCTGTAGAATGTCTGGCAGTTTCTTCTGCGAAGCAGGAACCTGAAGGACCATTTTGCCAAGCAAAGCTCAGTGGTCACCTTCTTATAGCTCCTGCATGTCCAGTCAATCAAGCAGTCCAGGCAAGAATAGTTTCTTGCCCAAATGGCTATTTTTGCCAAGGTGAAGATAAACCACATATGGAGTGTCTTCAATGCCCATCCTCCTCTCTGAAGTAAATTGGTGCTGCCAGGAGCAGACATGTCTCACTGTCCAGAAAGTCTAAATTTTAAAAAACATTTTAAATACCATATTCTCTAGGTCTTTGAAGTGTTTGAAGATTAGCTACCTAACTGAATTATATCTATGTGTACCTAGAAAACTTAACATGACTATAATTTTGCCTATCATGGAAGACTAATTATTAATCTGTATTTCTTAATTATCCATTATAATTTAAATGAGTTACATAAACATAATACCTCCAACGAGAGTAGAAATATATATACAGTATAACAAAATTACGTTTAAACTTGTATCAATAAACTAAAATCCATAACAATGTAAAACATTTCTAAACAAGTTGTTCTCTTAAAGTAGGTTCATTAATCTACCCTTTCATCCTACCATATCTACACTATCTCCTTTTCTTTTTTAGAAAGAGATTGTAATTATAATCAACCTGCTTTAAAAATACTGGGTTTTTTTTCTGTCTCACACCAGAGGGCTCTTTTGATATGGGACAGAAAAATCTCTCAGCCTTTTTTTTTTTTTTTTTTTTTTTTTACAAATATGTTTGGGTTTAGAGAAGGAGTGAGCCAATTCCATCTCCAAAACCATCTTGGTATAATTGGTTGATTTGGGCATAGCTTCTCATAATACTCCCTGCTGGATGAGGCCTCTGTATTCTTATGGGAACATAAAGAAAACTTTAGAATTATGGGGTAGTCCATGGGGCTGTATTGTCTGAGCCAGTTACCTTGAAATCATTCTGGATGTTGGATCATCTGGGCCATGGTGTCATCGGAGACCTTTCAGGTAGTCTTGGCTGGTTAAACCTGATGTATCTTAATCTGGAACAAATCCATAGCCTCTTGCTTTCTGTGGAAACAAAAGCAGAGCCTCCTTTCCAAAGCAACATATCCTTAGATCCAAATTTTGAAGTCAAGGTACCTTTAAAATATACATATTTGTTTTACTGAGCAGTCTTTACAATCAAATGTCTTTTTGCAGTTAAAAATCCCAAAGACAACATAATCCAGATTCTCTGTGTGATATCCATCATTGTGGATTATTTTTTATATTAAAATATTAAAAAGACTATTATTTTTCTTTAAATACTTTATTTTTAAAAACTATTTCTTTATATAACTGCATATATTACTTTTTTCTCTCTTGTGGCTTTCTGATACTTTATATCTTACTTCTCATGGTGGCAGTGTCTGGCAGTGTCTCCTGACTCAGCCTTCCACTTCCCAGAATTCTCTTCTCTCTTTTTCCCACCTATACCTCCTGCCTGTCTACTGACCAATCAGCATTTTATTTATCAATCAATAATAGCAACATATTCACAGCATACAGATATCCACAGCAGGGAGGAGAAAGGCATCTGTGGTTGGTATGTAAAATGAATAGAAAATTTCTTAATAATAAAAAAAGAAATGTTCAATATCTTTAGTCATCAGAAAAAAGCAAATCAAACCTGAACTGAGATTCCATCTTCTACCTATCAGAATGGCTAAAAAAAACCACAGGTGACAGCTCATCCTGACAAGGATATGGTGTAAGGGGATTGCTCCTCCACTGCTAATGGGAGTGCAAACTTGTACAGCCACTTTGGAAATCAATATGATCATTTCTCAGAAAATTGGGAACCTATCTACCTCAAGATCCAGCTATACCACTCCTAGGCATATATCCAAAGGATGTTCAATCATACCACAAGGACACTTGGACACTTGGATAATTATGTTCATAGCAGCTTTACTTTTAATAGCCAGAAACTGAAAACAACCTAGATATCCCTCAATCAAGGAATGGATAAAGAATATATGGTACATTTACACAATGGAGTATTGCTCAGCTGTTAAAAACAATGACATCAGGAAATTTGCTGGCAAACAGATGAAACTAGAAAATACCATCCTGAATGAGATAACCTAGACTCAGAAAGACAAACATAGTATGTACTCACTCATAAGTGAATATTAGCTCTAAAATAAAAAAAAATAAAATAAAAAAAAAAAAACAACAACAACAAAAAAAACGCACACAAACCCAGGAAAGCTAAGTAACAAAGAGTGATCAAGGGGGCGATGAATGAATGTCATTGTGAAGGGGAAACTGAATGGACATTTCAAGTGGAAGGGGGAGCAGGTTGAAAGGGGGAATGTGGATGGGAACAGGACAGATCAGGTTGGGGGAGGATGGAGTGAGAGCGTACTGGGAGAGAGAGACCTGGAGTCTGGGAAAATTCCAAGGAATCAGAAGGTGACCCTAGATAAGACTCCTATCATTAGGGGATATGGAGACTGAACAGGCCATCTCCTGTAACCAGGCTAGACTTCCATAGGTGAGACTGGGACACCAACCCAGCCACAAATCCTTCAGCCTATAATTTTTCCCTATATAAAAGATGGGCTGGAGTAAATGAGACAGAAATTATGGGAGTGACGAACTAATGACTGGCATAGCAGAAGACCCATACCCTGAGAGTAAGCTCTTCCCTGAGGGCCAGGACCCAGACATGGGATACCACAGAGACCTAGGATAGAACCAAACATGAATGGCAAAAAAAAAAAAAAATCAACGAAATGACTCCTAATGATATTCTTCTATACTCATAGATTGATACATAGCCCAAATGTCATCAGTAGGCTTTACTAAGCAATTTACAGAAACAGATGCACAGACCCACTGCCAAACATTAGATGGATCTTGGCAAATTCTTCAGAAGAGGGGGAGCAAAGATTGTAGGAGTGAGTGGGGTTAAGGACACCACAAGAAAACCCACAGAATCAACCAATCTGGGCTCATAGGGTCCCACAGAGACTGAACCAACAACCAGGGAACCCACATGGTACTGACTTAGGCCCTCTGTATATATGTTACAGTGTGTAACTTCATCTTTGTGTAAGAACAGGGCCTGTGTCTGACTGTATTCCCTAATATGGGGACCCATTCCTCTTATTGGATTTCCTCATCCAGCCTTAATAGAAGAAGGAGTGCCTACTCTCATTGAAACTTGCTATATCATAGTTAGCTGATATCCACGGGAGGCCTGCCTATATCTGAAGAGAAACATTGAAGGAGGAGTTGATGGGATGGAGAAGAGAGTAAGGGAGGACCTGGAAAGAGGGGAGGGAGGGGCAACTTTGGGATATAAACACAAAAAGATTAAATAAATAAATAAATAAATAAGAAAAAAGATGAATGTGATGTTTCTCAGCTAACCCATTTTAGGGGGTAGAATGTCTCAATATCAAAAGCAAGATATCTATACAGTGGGACAGTAGCTGCATCACATTAGTCACAGCAAGTACTTGAAATGTGTCTCTAAGTATGGGACCTCAGCAACATTTAGTTACTTGCTTTAAGTTTATTTCAACTGATTTGTAATCATTTAAATGTCCATATCAATGTGATAGCATATGATATGTTTGGGTATATCTAAACAATGGCATTATATTTACATCACTCTAACATTGATCTATATGGATGAAAACATGCAAAAGATGCATTCCAGCTTCAATGCACAGAATCTGATCATTGCCTTTAATTACCCTGAAGCACCATATCACACCAAAGCTCCTTTGTAACTATGCCTTAGTGCTCATTGTTCAACCCCTCCTTACCTTCTTTATCCCTAGCTTCAGGCAACAATCATTTCCTCAAAAATTCTAAGCAATCATCCTTTTTATGTTTCATCTATGATGAGTATCTTTGGATTCCATGATTTCCTTAAAATGTATCTCTAAATGAACAATGTCTAAAGTATTCTTGGGTCAATTTATGGTGTCAATATCATAGTCTTTATTGGTACTGTCATTACTAGCATAAGTTCTCCACATTTTGTTGCTACCACTTTCCTTCATTTTCAAATCTTTCAGTGCCTTCCAGAAATCTTAAATTGACAATTAGAAGTCCAAATAATGAGTCTACCTTGAAATGTTATTCTTATTTCCTAAACTCTCTACTTCCACCAGTATAGCCAGGTATCATTTCTGATTTATTCATTAGAAGAATTTCAAGTGTGTGTGTTGGGGGAGGGTTATTAATTTATTTTACATCTCCTTTCCTCTCCTCTTATTTCCTCCCTAACCTCCCCTCTAGCCCTCAATCCACACAGCCCTTTCTGTTCAGAAAGGAGAAGGCTTCCCAGGTATTATTTAAACAAAAAGAAAAGGAAAAATGGAAAATTTTGCTTTTTACTATATAAAGTGACAAAGATTATCAGCAACATTTAAATCTTTTGCTGTGGTTTTGACAGGTGAGAAAAGTATAGTCACTTCAATGACTTTTCCATGCTTTTGCTTCATACCTTGTTGCTATCTTCAAACACCTGAGTCCATCTGAAGCAAAACTCTACATGGGCCATGGGTAATTAACTGGCATGGCTGACATTCAAGAATCATACCTCAACATCAAAGATAGGCACTACCTCAGAGTGAAAGGTTGCAAAAGATTTTCTAAGCAATGGCCCCATGAAGCAAGCTGGTATAGCTATTCTAATATGTAGCAAAATTGACTTCCACCTAAAATTAATCAGAAGAGATAGGGAAAGACACTTTATATTCATTAAAGAAAAAATCTCTAAGGATGATATTCCAGAAGTATTATAGGGACATTTTCTTCTCAGGTGCTGGCCATGCCAGCCAGAAGAACAGGTAGACCTCCTGCCTTCAGAACTCTTCCACTCCCTCAGTTCAGCTCTCAAAGACCCAATCTGCTACCACCTTTTCCTCACTACTCTCCTAGGTGCCATGTCCCATCCTCCAACTCAGGCAATCCTCCCCTGCTCAGGTTCAGATCACACCAGCCACAAGCCAGCCACAAGAACAGGTACACATCCTCCACTATCTGGGTGCCCATCCCCAACACTATCTCTAATTCCCTCCTCCTTCCCTATCACAGTGTCCCAGAACTCAATTCAGACAGAGATCCCCAGCTCAACTGAAGGCCACACCAGGCCCTCCCTTTTTCCTCTGCCTTGTCCCACCCTCCGATGTGAACAAGGACTCTTTGCTGGACTAGAGACCACAACAGATTCCAAAAGTACAGCCTCCAAATCAGGCAGAGAACCCTTACTGCAGCAGAGGCCACACAGGCCAGAAGACCAGAGAGAAAACAGGAACCAAAGAATAAAACAACCATCCAACAAAGACAAAAGCTCACAAATCAGTGTATAGACCTATAATCAGCCCAAATGAAGATGTTTAGACACCTACATAAGAGCACAATTGTGATATTTTATTTGTGCTGAAATGTGGTGATATTTTATTTGTATGTTAATAAATAAAGTTTTCCTGGAGATCAGAGGACATAGCCAGTCATAAACAAAAGTCAGGAAGTAGTAGCACATGCCCTTAAACCAATCACATGGCAAGCAGAGTCTCTGTGTGTTCAAGGACACACTAGGGAATAACCAAGTATGGTGACACATGTCTTTAATCCCAGTACCAACCATAGATACTTGGAGGCCTATACAGACAGACAGTGACAAGGAAGGGAGGCAGCTGGGCTAAGAGCCAATGAGAGGGCAGAACAGCAAGGCAATAAATGCCTGGGTAGACAGGAAGTAGCTCTCTGTCTTGGGAAGCTATGGCAACGTGGTGAGCTAAGGTTAGCTGGTGACTCTCACTATTTCCCTGATCTCTATGGCTTTCATCCCTGTATTTGGCTCTATGTTTCTTATTTAATAAAATAGTTTAGAAATTCAGCTACACACAATCAAAGACACCATAGCCCAGCTTTCTTACTACAGCAAACTCTGAATAGTTCACCACAGATAAGGCACAATAAAAAGACCTTAAAACCAGCTTTATGAAGATGATAGAGCTCCTTAATGAAAAACTAAATAAAGCCCCCAAAGAAATCAAACAAAAGACAAACAAAAAATTATAAGAAATGAATAAACCACATTTAAAGAGCCAAGAAAGTCAAGAAAAGAACAA